AGAGAGAGAGAGAGAGAGAGAGAAAGAGAGAGACAAACAGACAGACAGACACGCAGAAGAACAAACAGACAAAGACATATATCTCTACATTCACATACAGAGAGAATCAGGACAAAAAAGACAAACAGACAGACCGACAGAGTAATGGACAGAAAACAATGGAGGAAGAAAGAGATGTAAGAACTGGTTATATGAACAGAATCGGTGTTACGCCCTTTTACTACTTGCCTTTTTGCACTTGTTGCTTTGCAAAGAAAGCATTTCTGTGATATGTGTAGTGCACAATAAACAAACGTTTATATGGAAATGAGTTGTTTTTCTTCTTTTCTGTCTTATTGTTTAAATAAACAGTTGAATGTCTTACTGGCAGCTTATCACGTAATGCCTTTCTTCACAAAAAATGACACCTCTCTTCCAACGATGATGAATATTCATGCGATTGCGTTCAGCTTCTTACCATTTCTGTTTCTTTGTACGGTCTTCCCTCTCTCCAGTATTTTTTTGCACGCTCTCTACTCTCTCTCTCTCTTTCTCTCTCTCTCTCTCTCTCTCTCTCTCTCTCTCTCTCTCTCTCTCTCTCTCTCTCTCTCTCCCTCTGTTTCTCTCTCTCTGTCCTCTCCTTACCCTTTTTTTGTCTCATTGGGCAACAGTGTTCTTATGTTGCTGTTGCTTTAAAACATACCAATCTGATACTCTGTTGTTGTTGTTGTTGCTCTTGTTGCTGCTGCTGTTGTTGTTGTTATTGCTGTTATTGTTGTCGTCGTTGTTTTGTTGTTTTGTTGTTATGTAATTGTTGTTATCGATCCTGCAACAGTTAGGCTCTCGCCTTCAGTAGAATGCCATGCAGCGTTAAGTGCAGTTTTCTACAGTTGCTGTACTGTTCCATAGAGTGCATTGCTAATGTTAAGCCACACACATAAAATCAAGTACTTTCAATAATGTCAGCCATTTAGCCTTCTGTGATTTTCTCTGACATTCTGTATCCTTTATTCCATTCTTAGTTTTTCTAAGGTAAAATATTGATTTTACTACACTTCAACAGAGTACAACAAGTTAGATAGAGGGAACATCAGTTATACCAATCTATTCATTATTTCATCCATATATCTATCTGTTTGTCTATCTATCTATCTATCTATCTATCTATCTATCTATCTATCTATCTATCTATCTACATGTCACATGTTCCAAATGAATTGGTGGACTTAAATTTATAACTGATACAAAAGCAAAAAGACTCAAATGACAAAGAAAACTTGCCCAACACATAGATCTATTCTGGAATTAGTTGTCAGTCTTAAGACATCGATCTGCAAGTGACGTCACAATGACACTTTCAAGGGAAATTTTTAGGCTCTTTGACTTTCACTTTAAAACAGAACAGGTGAATGCCATTCTCACAAACGCGATGTGCCATCCCCGACAGCCAAGGTTGACAGTGATAAATGGGGGTGAAGTAACCCGCCCCCTCAATTATCTAAATCGTGCGAGAAAATTACAATCAATCTGTTGCACCAGAGTGTTGTCCGTTAACATGCAAATAGAGCAGGGCGTAACTGCACCCGTAGAGTGATACAGGTGGGCTGGAATCATTTCCCGTAGTTTTATGGCGACCGTGCTCTACAAGTTTAACACCTCCACCTTTTTTTTAAACCGCTGGGGTTCCACGCCAATATGGCAAAGGTTACAGAAGACATTCAATCCTTTGAATGTTTACGTTCAAATGTGATTAAAAGTTGGAGGCGTTGGGCCCTATTCTGACAGAGTATGTGGGTGAAGTCTCGCTTGCCTCAGATCTGCACTGGTTCAGTTATAATATAGCCTTGCACAGTGTTATGATAGAAATGTTAATACCATCTTTGAATATACACAGACTATTTTTAGCAAGGGACGCTTAAAACAATCAAAAGCAAATCTATCTATCTATCTATCTATCTATCTATCTATCTATCTATCTATCTATCTATCTATCTATCTATCTATCTATCTACATAAATATATATCTATCTATCTATCCATCTTTCTCTCTCTCTATATATATATCTCTCTATCTATCTATCTATCAATCTCTCTCTCTATCTTTCTCTCTATCTCTCTCTCTCTATCTATCTTTCTATCTATCTATCTATCTATCTATCTATCTATCTATCTACCTATCTATCTATCTGCAACGAACATAATATGGATTCCCCCAAACGCCGGGGTTTCTGGCGATTAACCAGCCCAAAGTGGAAGTATGTTGGCCGATCGGATATCGATTTCCGAAGCGTCTGTCCATAGACTCGACTAACGGGCTAAGCGAGAATACCGGAGAGTACGTTATTATTGTTATTTCAATATTCTGAATGCATTATGAGGCATACGATGGCTGTAAAAGGGCTAGTCATGCGTAGCCAAGCGCTGTGTTGTAATAACGAAACCATAATGGAAACCCCCAGTATAGAGAGATGAGAGTGTTATTGGTCTTTTAGCGTTGGTGCG